AACTGTATTGGTTGTTTCAATTTTATTAATTTTAACACTGCAATTGATCAGCTTTTTAAAACATATTTGCATCCTTTGCGGATTGCCTCAATGTTGCCATTAAGTCACAAGCATTATAAGCAGAGGTTGGTAGGGCTAACTAATCCATAATAAAGTGAAACGTGCTTCCTGGATACCACTGATATCCACCATCCATTTAAAATGACATTAACTGGAGAACTGTTGACAATCAGGAAACAATAGACGTCTTTTTCATTCTATTTTCGAAAATTTCAACAATCGATACCTAAAATACCTTAGGATATTGAATTGTAGACATGGTGGTTATATGACGAGCAGGATTTGTCGAAACAGCTTACTTTAAATTGAATGACTTATATATTTTTACCATACTTAATGAATTACGCTCTGTATACTTATTTTTTTGATATTGTCTATTCTGGTTATATATAAATATGAGGATAATGAAATCGATACAGTTTTGAGAAATTTCGTTTCCATAATTGTGACATAGAGTGAGAGTAGATCTAAACAAAAGATATTGAATAATAAATTACTATTCATGTAATATCATAGAAAAAAGCTTGTGGTCTAAGTTTATATAATAATATACTGAAAATAGTCGACAAAATTGTTCTGATTAACCAAGATATCATCTTTGTTTTATTTATATATTTCGGGCTAAATAACCAGTAATATTAACAATATTTCAGTCATTATGAACGTGTAGTATTGACTTATTCATATGATCTGATAAGTATAAGGTATAATGGATAACATCATCATGATTTTATCATGATTAGTGTATTTGATAGGCTTCAGTGCCTGTCGAAATTGCTTAGATCAGTTTAATCGCTTTCATTAACCCAACTCTTATTTCATGGTTTGTGTTATAGTATTATTGCGTACAAATTTGTTATTACATAAGTGCATAACTTTTCAAAAAATACATTTAAAAAATAAATAAAACATTTAGGTCAGCAAAATTTTATTTTAAAAATCCAAGAGTTTATGATTGATTAGTATGTGTGAGGCCTGTCTGATCAAGCATTTTTTGTTTTCGATTGAGATCATGTCTAACCTCAACCAACCCACGAAATCGCGCGACCATCTTCCATTATACTGAGGTGGATATATTTTTCTACCCGTGAGGGAATTCTTGGTGTTCTAGTGAGAATCTGTGACTAGTGCATCTAATCCATCCATCTTATAAATTATTTTGAACGATCAGTACCAACTCTTGAATTTAATAATGATAACAAAAGCTATCAGCGAACAATATCCGAATTTATAGGCAGTATTCATTGACGATCGATATCAGTTGGCGAACTATTAAAAGTTAAAGATCAATGAAATTCTACTATCATTTATTTTGGTACCTAGTGCCTTTGGTTTTCAGTACGGATATGTCTCTATTCAGCCTATGTATAGGCATCCCTTGATTTATGTTCCCTAAGTCCAATGAGTAAATTACATAACATAACCATTAATTAGCATGATCTGCCCATAACTGTAGTTCTAGGCTTATATAAATGATTGTCAATTTTTAGTGGGTTTTCAAATGTTTGTTGCTCCCCAATGAAAACCATCCTTAATTTGGACAAATTTCAAAATGTTTTTTTCACAGAAAAACTTCAAATTTGCCTCATTTTTTGTAAACATTTTCAATTTTATATCAGATCTAAAAGTGGACATTTTAAAAAGATTTTTTGAGCTTCAAATAAAATGATATTGTTTATTCTAGTGTATTCACTAACTTCGTCGGCTAAATTGGTTAGGATTAGTGTTACATGTACGTAATAACCCCAGACTTTGATAAGTGATGTATTTCAGTGTTAAAGTAGATTAGAAGAAAGCTGGAAGGGACGGACCACAATGTGATATCAATTCGTGAAGTCAGTGAATCTCGGTCTGAGCGATGATTGTAGGTGCCTAACACCTCGTTGAGGTTCATTCAGTGGTTTACTTTTCCATTCCGGTTTTTTCTTACCATATTTCCAGCGTCTAGTCTTTCAAATTATCACTGTAACGTATCATTTTAATTCCGTCGATACACCCCTTGTTAACTGTATTTCGTAGTACTGTCTTGGTAAGGCATTTTAAATAAATGCTGATTTGTCTTAGGCTTTAAGTTGAATACGACTGACTATTTGTTGTGATGCTACTTCATATTTATTATATTATGTTTATTTATTCATATATAATATTATGAATCATATGATATTTCACGTTATTAACGTTATATTTTTATATATTTATAAGGATAAAATTTACTCTATAGTGAATAATACATACTCTGCTTTGTAGTATACAAAGTGGATTAATCCTAACCATATAGTCACTGAAAATGAGGAGTTACTGAACATCTGTTTCATAAAACAATGAAGATCCTCATTAGTCCTCATTTATGATCTCACACTTTAATGACATTACAGACTTCCATAAAACGTTGTATACGTGATACAATTAGTCATTTTGTCAAAACCAGTCCATAAATATTATGAATTGAATAATGTCTAACAGTGAAGTCCCGAATTCTTGTTTTATTCTATTTAGTACCCCTCAACTGAGTATGATTCTTTGTTTAATTAATTTCCCAAATTCAATAGCCATTGTTTAATTGTTTGACATGTTATACATCATTTAATACTCAGTATGAACAAGAAGTTCTGAATGCATAAATATTATTTTAAATAATTTTGTTTTAATGGTTGCAATCATGAGTCAATTAAAGCTAGACTACTATAGGAAACCTGGAAACACTGGACGACCGTTTCGCCTTATTGTGGGACTCCTCAGCAGTGCTCATCTACGATTACGCCTCGCGCGATGCGAATCGAGGACCTATCAGTCTCGCGCGCGAAGGCTTGATATCTAGACCACTGAGCCGGCCGGCATCCAACGGTGTTAATATTTAACTTCAACCAATGCACAAAATTGAGCGACACATCCATCATTGTCTTCAGTGAGTTACTATCGCACAACAGACCTAGTTGAACTCGACTGGTCACTGCTTCTCACGAGAACTCCAAAAAATACCTCTTGAATCTAGTCACTAGTGAGCATATGTTGGTTCGTATCAGAGGGGTTTTTTGTGGATATTATAGTAATTTTAATTATGAGTCAAATGAAGCTAGACTACCATAATAATATTTATCTTTCATGATAACATGTATCTCAAGGAAAAAGATCAACATTTCAAACTTGTGTTGTTTTGTAATACTATTCTGAATAAATTAAATGATAATATACTTGATATTCTTAACTGTTTAAAATAACAAAAGTTATGCTAAATTATGTAAGGAATAATAATACCACTGAAATAGTTATTACAAAATATGAGTATCTAAAAGATTGCTGAGTAGAAGAAAAAATGGTAGAAAAAGTATATTATTCTTCATATTATTTATTTCTAGATTGAGATGTTCGACATGTATCATTATTGTGAACAATTAGAGTAAATAGCAAATCTCCCTTTTCACATTTATATGTTTCGGTTCTACAGATAATATTATTCTTTAGTAAAATCAAAAATATTATTTAGTAATTGTCAAGATTATTCTTTTTTTCTGAGATAAAACTACCATGCTTATCATAAGACCAATCTATTATGGTTTTCAGTATTATGACAGAGTAGGTGTATGTTGTAAAAGAACAGTCTGAAATCAGAACAAGACAGATGTTAAATTACCCTTAGTTTTTTTCAAATATCTCTACATGATATTAGTTTGTAATGGAAAAATACATTCAAAATACATCAAATAATAATTATTTATTGAAGTAAATGAAAAAAAGTCATTAGTTTATGTGACAATATGGTTTGTTCAACTTAAAGATCAAATGATCTTAATTTAATAAACATCTTACATATATCTAATAGTTATACGTTTTATGGATTATACAAATCAAAAATCTTACATCGTTAATCTTTTATGATATTTATTTCTATTTAGATATAAACAATCTACTTGTTATTGGGTTAACTTCACTAATGAAAATTGAATGATCTAACGATTGTAGATATTTTACAGCTTAAATTTTCCATAGTGATTTGCAGTGTATCACTTGTTTATTTAAAATGTTTGGTATCACAGTATCAATTAAATGTTCGTCATAAAGAACTTAAAATAGTTTACATATACTTTTAAAATCAGCATTAAATAACCATCTCTGTAAGAAATCACAAGTATATCTTTTTAGTATTTTTATTTGAATTTATGTGTGTTAAAATGTTTTTTCTAATCCTTGTTGACTAATCACTAATGATTGAAGAAAAGTATAACTTGTTAATGAATTCCATTAAGTTTCTTCTGTTGTCATTTTTGTTGTTGTTGTTGTTGTTGAAAACATGACTTAGAAACAAGTGTGAATGCATTTAGAAAATAATGTACTTGTTTTTCTCAACAACAAAAAATCTAATTTCAGGCGTTCATTTTTTTTCCTTTCATTAGTGATTTGACAATTATCTCTTCTTTCTTTTTATAAAAAAAATTGTGTAACTGATGTATATTGCATTTTAAATTTTCATCAAATCAGTTATTATTTTGATATTGTCATGTTGTCATAGATAAATATCTTAATATATTTTATTATAATTATAAATTCTTTTAACCTAATTGTTTTATTAAAGTAGATCAAAATTTTCGGTAAGAATATTCACGTTTGCCGCTTTTTTAAAAATTAATATCTGAAGTCTAGATTCTGTTGTTAACTATGAAAAAAAAATGGCATGTGCTTCTGTCATCAATCTCATTCTATGAAAACTTGAAGAAATTTCAAATCCCTATGGGTTGTTGTTGTTATTCTCAATATAGAATAATCATGTAAAATATAAAACAGATACATGATTATATCAAGATTATTTAGTTTAATAATAGAATTTAGAAATAAGCTAAATAAGCTAAATTAATTGAATAAAATATCCCAGTTAATTGACAAACATTCTTCTATAATCATCTGATTAAAGCAAATATAATTTAGAAAGTGCATTTACAAACAATCAAATATTGTATAAATGAAAAAAAAGACAATAACATTTTCAAATTGAAAGTTTTCTAAGAATCCTTTGAAATCTTGAAATGTTTTTTTCTTCAAAGGTTATTACACAAAACATTTATTAACTGTAAACAGTTTATCTATAAATGATATAATTAATCATAGAGTGACCATAGATAATACATGTAATTGTCTTCTTTATAATGTACACTTTGAAAATGTTATCGTTTTCTATTATTGGATGAATCTGGAAGAATTTTAACTGTGATACACGTGATATGATGAAGTATGACATACAAAATTGCTATACAAATTAGATACTTTTTTTTTGAATTTGGTTAAAGAAAGCATTCAAACAACAATATACGATTACATGATCATTAGGAAAAGTTTAAATAACCCTTTTGTTGGTATCAGGGAGAGAATTTTGATTCATCTTTATTAGCATATGTTCATCCTATGAGGATTACATTGAAACACTTTATTGAAAGTGGATGGTCTAATACATGTGCATGCTTCAATCAGTGAGAACATCAATGCCGAGATAAAGATACATTCAACTGATGAGTTGCAATTGGGGAAAAACGAGCGTCAGTGATTTCATCCCAGTACAACATGGTTTTGCTATAGTTCGTAAGTAGGACAAGATACTATTTACACTATCAAATACAACCATTATGAATTTAAGAAACTGATATGAAGAAAACTATTTTAGACTAAAATGACTGCTTATATTATGTCTTTTGTTTGGTAAAGCTTAGTCATTCTAATCATCTATATTAACTCATAAAGTTTATGGATGCTTTTTGTTTTATGCTTCACGAGTTAAGTAAACCGTTAAAAAATGAACTTATGTTGTCAATATAATTGAGACTAATCATGTGTTTATAATGTTCATAAATATGAATAACCCTAAGAGTTTCGAGAAGAAAACTACAAATTAACTGACTAGAATGTGAGGTTGTAAATGTTTACTAATAATACGATCATTCGTTTCTAATGCAATTCAAATGTATGTTTGTACATCCGCTAATTGAATCTAAAGATGATCTTACGATATGATAAAAAGCACAACTGATCGATCAATTGCTAATTATATGATCTGACTAAAGTGTTAAATATATCAAATGTTTCTAGGTTGTATTCGTCATAAATTAATTTCAACCGGTATGTCACTGAAAACAAAGAACCTGTGAACAGCTTTTTTGCTCTAACAAAGGACTCCTTATCAGTAAGCATTCACGACTCTATCAACAATCACATTCAAGACCGTCGTGTCTCTAGTCGGACGTTTGACTATTAAAACCACTGTGTAGTGAAATTCCTAGTTCAGGTTATTTTCACTACAGTGCAACAGTCATTTAATGCCATTGGTCGTATCTGGTTCACTGCCCATATATCTGAACACCATCTGTCACGATGTCTCACTGGATCGTCGGAAGATGTTACTAGTTCTCTCTGGTTTTCATTGGTACTCCAACTAAAATCGGTTTTAGTGAATATAATCTACGAGGTTTATCAGTCTTCTTAAATCTTTTTTAATTGCAAAAATTTCGTTTTTCTGAGGAGACAATAAACTTTTACTTACTGGTGACAGTATTTTCCAGTTTCAGAACGATGATCATCCTTGCAATCTGTGTTGATTAAATAATCATTTCTCTTATCCAAATTACATACACTATAGTAAAGCGTTTACAACTTATTACCATCCTAAAAATCGTCAACCTGAAGTAAAGACACTGTGATTTTTCAAACAATAAGCTAAAACATTGAGATTTTTGTGCGTGAGATAAACCATAAAAAATCTGTCTAAAATACATAATTTGTGACTGCAACGTCATAACGATAGATTAGACGGAAAGCCTTTATAAGATCGGTGTAAGTAATTAATCATTAATGCTGTAAAGGTTTCTTTCTTCATGTCTTTTTGATGACTTTGAAACTTAAGTATTTCCTGATAGTACTTTATCACGTATATGTTTTGTATTTTAAACTACAAACATTATTACATGCATACGGTTAAACATACTTCAGTCCTATGTACATAAGACTGAACAATTGTAGTTATCTTTTAGTTAATAATTTCACAAAGTTACTAAATAAGTAGATATGAAGAAAGAACCCTCAGTTGATGGAGGAGATTTGCATCTCAGAAGAATGACTTTGATCAATCTGCACTTTTTGAACTGAGTGGTTTAATTATGAAACATTCATTATCTCTCTAGAAAATATTATCAGTGCTTTACGAATTCCTTCTTATAAGCCAAAAGGCGGTATATTTGGAAAGATCATAAATAACCATAAGATAAAGAATTGAATCAAGACAGAAGAAAATTAAAAATGAAATTTGCATTTAGTGACAAGACATGTTTTAACAACAACTAATAACATCTTATATTAACAAAGTAATATGTTAAATATATATAGAAAGAGATTCAAATAACGCAATCCTATTTAAAGTTCGTGCTGATGGTTTAATTCATAAAAACTATGAAAGCTTAATCCTTCAAACACTCAGCTCAAAAAATGCAACTCCATCAAAATCTATTCAGGGCTTTTTTCACATATACTTAGAATGTTCATTGATTTTACTCAGTATACTTATGAAATACAAATATAATATACAAACAGGTTAGGTACAAACATGATGATATTACACAATGAAATCAACTTTCATGTAAACTGATAGTTTTTCAATTATATACATATAGTCTTGTTTCCAGTTCTGTTTATAAATGAATTATATATACATATTTTTTTCAAAGAATTATCTCTTGATTTATTTCTGTTCAACGTTTTACATCATGGTAATTATGAATTAAATTTAATATTCCTATTGACTTTCATCTCATGTTATATGGACAGCAACAATGTTATTATATTTGAATATTCCTCAAATAACTAGTTTGTTTAATATAACAACACAAACGTACATTTATTTGCCTACTTATATTTATTCTCATCCTATGCACGTTCCGAGAAATTTGATTATCAATTGAATTGACTAGCTTTATCCCCAATCGTATCCTAGGGCTATATATAGCCAATGATTTTTCTCACTAGGTTTTATATTGATACATACATGTATACATTTATTCACTACAACGTAAACGTACATGACGCATGAAAAGGTGCTTATACAAACTTTAGAAAAGTTTTATAGTTAATATCTTATCATGATCGAACAATTATTTAATACAGTTGTTTTGTGAACTCTATTTATATTCTATAATTTCGACTTTTTTCTTATTTTCTTGAAGAAGTTCTAACCAGAATGCCAACTGGAACGTTGAAGTTATTTTTAATTACTGTGATTGAGATTTGTACAAACATATTTGTCCTTTTAATATATTTTACATGGTTGGTTTCCAAATACTGTGAAATTATTCACTAAAATGCTAATGAAACTTATCATAAATTTCTTAGCATTTATAACCATTTAATCGACCATAAACCATCGATCACTCGTACTTGAAACTGTAAAAACTGATAAGAATTTACTAAAAATATTAGTCTTCATTTATGCATTTCCATTTCAAGATCTTTACTCTAATCTTTGTAAACTATTTTAAACTGCCTACAATTTTTACTCTTACTTGGCTTTCCAGGTTTACTTTTAACACCATTTAGTCGTGTATTCAACATTCTTGACATTCATTTCATTTTTACTAATGTTAAATGTAAACATTTATGAAAATAACAATAAAATGATTGATTGATGTAATCATAACCCTTCGTATTTTTTTCGTTTTATAATCAATAATTGTGCTACATGTTTCCATTTGTCAAATCATTTTATGCAAAAGAGTAAAAGCAATCACTATAAGTGATGTAAAAGTTAAGTGATATCATAAGTGTACGAAATGAGTTTACGAATCAAGGTAAATCAGAATAAACATCTTACCAGAAATGTAGTTTATTTGTCTGAATGATCCAGTTTGACAGATATTAGAGTGTTATGATTGATAATACTATCAATGATATATATGAATGGCTTGTTTAATACTCTGAATAATTGTAAAAATAAAGGAATGATTGTATTAATAAAATTAACTAATACACACATTAATATTTGACAAGTTCAGTATGTTGTAACTGTGCATTAGTAGCTTACAGTCTTATCTGTGCTAGTACCTATAATATTTATAGTGAACTATTTAGTTGTCATTAAGTTAGGTGATTGTATAAAGATTTTATAGAACTGTGTGGAAAATTTTGTTATCATAAATTGACATCTTCTAGAGAATCCCTATGCTGTTCTAATTCATAATGCTTAAGAATTTACACGTAATGTTTCATGTCAACCATGACACATTCAGACGATGAAGTTAGAATCCAGCGTTTCACACATTCAACTAAAGACATACTTTTCACGACTGCGCATTCATTCAACACGAACTACTATCACATTCATAAAAACGGCTGTTTTTACAAGTCACTAGTGATATAACTAGCTAATCAAAAGTAACCAATTGTAAAGGTCACTTGGGGACAGCCAGAAATGACTTGAAGGACAACTGTATCTCATAGGCTAAGATATGGGTTCATTTTCTATGTGTGTATGTCAGTACGTAGTCCGACAGACTCCCTCTTTCACTCTCGTCTCCTCGCTGTATTCAGTTTAGAAGGTTGGCGCGTAGCAGATTGCGTATCAGTATCAGACTGTGGACACGGTTCATCATAACAACAACAATACAATTACTAATGTCTTTGATTCTTTGATTCAATGACGATTATTTTAACGAAGTTTGTAAGCCGGTACATTTGTTACGATAGAAAACTACAATGGTTAGTTATTCTACCGCAGTAAATTTGTCTATCAATAATATCAAAACTATTCAAATTTAAAAGTATTTTACCATTTCAAGTTGCTAGATTAAATCGATAGATTGTTAATGATCAGAGTTTAACGTGGTCATGGTCAACGTAGATACCTGGATAAATGGACGTCGGCCCAAGTTGCAATATTGTATTATCAAGACAACGTGAAGTTAACAAGAAAAATTTAAGAGACGAAACAGTATAGTAGCAAAAACAGAAAGAATCATTATACATTTAGAAAATCGTATATATGAAGAAATGCCTGAATTCATGAGTGGACGTAAGATAATGAGTTATCTCATCTAAGCCACTGTGATTAGCTCATATTCATGTGATCAAATGTTTTCAGATTCTGATTGCAATTATTCTACTGACCATAATCAGGCAATCTGCATTTAAAAACAAAGGTGATTTATCAATTAATACCACGTTGTGATTTAGCTCCACTCTCTAAATCTTACAACT